ATCTAATTTTCCCGGATTCTTCAAAAAGCCTTGAAAACTCGTCAAAAATTGGGTAGCGAAATCAGCATGAGCCAAAACCCTGCTGCACAACTATCAGTGTTTTTTTCTTGTGAATTATTCCAAAATCCCTATTTTATAATAGCGAAGAATGCTGGAGAGTCCTCCCGTAATCCTACCCTAACGAAGAGGCAGCAGCAATTGGCTCCAAACTGTGCATCCAAGTTGAAACCAGCTCTATAGAATAGTACCTGAAGGTGGCCAGAAGACTCGGAAGATATTCAATGATTAGTGTTACACACTTTTGAAATCGCACCATGCGCGGAGATCAACGAGTAGTATTAGTGAATGGTAAAAGTTTTGAGGATGAACTACTGCAAAGTAATAATTTTTTATAAATAATTGTGACCATACACTTTTAAAAAAGAGGAAAACAAAAGTTGGTACTAATCGCATATATTAGTGTGTGAAAATAACTGAAACGCAGTGCACACCATTATGAAACGTTGAGCTCTTGAAATTCTGTTTGCTTTTTCTCTTTACAAGCATGAATAGACGTGAGCAGATGTATGACATGCTTGATCATTCACAGCTGTTTTGCTAGCCTTTACAGTTACATGTTCGCGTAAGATATACAAACTTAGGCCATACACAAATGACTCCGTTACATATAAAGAAAACATACTAGAGTTACTTATAGGAAACGCAAAATTCATATATTCATGACTTTCGTAAAGCTTAGACAACAATAAAGCTTGCTTATATCTACTTGTAAATTCAGCTGACAAGGGAATGATCAGAAGTCGAAGTGACCAATCCAAGCGAGCTGCCTACCTTGATCAACATTCAACGCTGATTTCGGATCTATACTCCATACCTGCTTAGCGCCCTTGTGGACGGAGTCAAGAGCAGTTTTATCGCGCAAAAATCGCACATAAAAATTGCGAAATTGAGCACATTATTGCACTTTCGGCTCACCTTTAGACTTTAAGAATATAAAATAACCTAGTTGCATGTTTTGGCAGAGCATTAAGCCGAACATGGCTCTACACTGTCAGATTTGCGCTTTGCATGCACGATTTCTTAGCTAACGGCCTTTAACGGCTCATAACTTCGCCCGCATAGGCACTAAGCAGATATGGAGTACAGATTCGAAGTCAGATTTCATGCTGCATCTAATGGTATGCAGCTTGTTTGCACTGGCCACTTCGTCTGGCCATTCCCTTGAGAGCTAAAAATGTCCATCAACTTTTTTGAGTTAGGTCATCTTTGTCAGAATGAAGTTTTCGATTGTTCATGTCCACGAAGAGACAAGATAGTCAGTATATGGCAACTATAAACTTGCTCAAATTGAGAAGTTTTGGACTAAGGAAAAACGATTACCTCTGAAGAAAGTTATGGCATTGCCATGACAAAGTTTCCAAAACAGGCCAACCCAATAATGAGAGCATCCAAGCGAAAAAAAATTGGATTTCAAAAGTACAAACAAATGTGCATACCACGCTGCTGTAACACATCTCTGCTTTCAGTACAACGGTGCCAACAACGCGCTGTAGCCGTCGTTCTCTTAGCCAGCTGGGTACACATGAACGAAGAGCCTAGCATTGTGCTTATGTAAATTTCAAGAATCGATATGTTAACTCTTTTGTCAAATTCATGTTTATTCGCCAACAGAAATGCCAATACTTTTTAAACCCTTGCTTTGAACGACTTCTCGGACATGGACGGGGTTGAAAAGTGATCGGTGAACTAGGATGAATTCTCGCAGTCCACTCCCTTCATTTCAGAAGAACGCCCCGTTTCTGCGAGGCCGCTCGCCTCTTTGAAAGGGAAGTTACGAACCTCATTCAAAGAATCATAATGAAGTAGGATCCACATGTGTAAAACCAGATGGCTCCCAAAATTCAGAGAAAATGAGGTCATTAATTAAGTTGTCCCATAATTTTTAATGTTTTTACTACGACGGTCGTCTTTTTCTGTCTTTCCTCCCAATGATGCGGATTGAGTAACCATTCGGTAGGGTGAAGCAAGCTCTACAAGATAGCTGTCAAGAGTCTGCACAAATCGTGTTCCACGAAAGTTTTGAGGCGAAATATGACAGCACTCAAAAATGAATTTCATAGTCAAAGACCGTATCTCCGCCCCCAGAGACCTGAAAAATTCCTTATTCAACCCAGCATATGTTTGACATATCGAACGTCCAACTATACAATTTCTGCATTTATTTTTGTCTTTTTCATGGCTAGAAATAAAGAAAAAGATGGGGGTAAAATAGCAAACTCCGCCCCGAGACGTCCTGACGTCCTCCCACGCAAGTGATCGTATAGCTCATACATACAGTGGTACGATCATGTATCTGTACCTTTTTTAGATGCCCCAATTCTCGAGAAATGCTAATGTTCAATGTAAAAACGGTAAAAATTTATGGGACACCCCAATAAGTTGCCACCAGCGCCCACCCACCCTGGGCGAATGTCTGCGTTTGTACAAGATTACTGCTTGGCTTTTTGCCTTTGGGCAGCTTGTTTACCAGGAAACAAAAATCTGTTAAATTTTATTTCAGAGAGTTTGTTCACAGAGGAAAGCTTATAAACTTCACGATTGGAGCAAACGTTCAAGGTAACAGTAAAAAATCTCCTCATTGAAAGCAGCAGTATACTAAAAGAATAAGGGATGAGATGAAAGCATAAAAGAATTTCTTGGAAAAATTATCGACAGACAAGGAGAGAACACAAAGTAGCGAATGGACAATGAGACTGATAAGCTTTGAAAACATTCGTTGCCTTGATGTCTCGAATTTGTTTGTATTTTGAGGTCAGCCATGAGAAGGAGCTTATAATGACGTGGACTACACATCCCTACAACAAGCTGATTTTCGGGAATCATGTCAAAACAATCACAACGAAATTTCGGTGAGTCCATAACGAAATATGAGATGAAAGAATATGGGTGCCGAATATGAGGCTAGAAGACGTCCATTTCACTACTTATATACTTCTATCTGTGTACGTAGATTTTGAATCCTATGATACTCACTTGTCCCTTCCTAACTTGGTATTGGTAATTAAGTGAAATCCCTGAAGATTAGCAACTGGAGAAGAGTTCCGCACTTTGCATCTCAAAAGGCCATGAATATTGCAGACTTTGCTTTTGAGAATTCCATAAACAAACGACAAAAGTTGTTGGCGAAGAGTTTGAAAGTCAGAAGAAAACGACTTGCACTACATATGTCTCGAATTTCCACCCGCATGCCTAGCGGCAGGATTACAATGGAGAAATATTTACATTTCACGTATAAGTAATGAACAAAGCCATAAGCCTTGGGCCAGTTTCTTGATTGTTGATTTTTGATCATTTGATTTTGATTGATTTTTGATTTTTTAATTTTTAATTTCGTTGACGGTTCTAGATAACTTGCTTGAAGTGGGTAATGGTGGTTAGAAAGATCATTTGTAAATCTAGAAGTCGGCGAAAGGAGCCCATAAATTGTAGTTCAACCTTTAGATAATCTCGATTCCATAAACGTTTGTTTAATAATGATCCAATTTTAGTGAGTTCTTCAGAAAACGTGTACCGCTCGCAAACCCTGCAAAATTTCTTTCCGCATATGTCGCGGATTTCCGCTGAAAAAACAAATTTCCGCAAAATTCCTCAATATTCCGGGAAACTGCTAGAGATTGCGCGAAATTCCGAAAATGTCGCGGAATTCCCGGAATGCCGCACAAACTCGCTAAATCTCGCGAAACTTGACGTTTATTTCGCGGAAACGCATCATTCACGGACATTTTGCACATTTCGTGAGCGGTATTGTACATAACGTTAGCCACGAAATATAAAACAAGTTACCTATTTCGAGAAAGGCAACACTGCAAAGAATTTCTGCGAGCCATGTGGAATGATGCAAAACAATACGCTTGGTTTTAGCCAAGATGAAATATTCAAAACTGCATTGCATTACTAAAGTCTCCATTACGTGTGGAAGCAAAAAGCACATGATTCAGGAGGCTTATCAGATTTTTCTTTCAAGGTTCTAACAGCGAAATTATATTACAGGCCAGGTAGCAAGTCTGCAGAAGAATCATACTATGAGAAAAGAAACAAGTACAGAACCAGATCAGTGACACGTCACCAAGGATGTGCAACAGAAGACTGCTTAAAAACGGGTGTAACAAACTAGATGTACCTTCTTGTCATTTTCGCTGCTCAGGAAATTTACGAAGAAGTAAGGGTAGCTGCAAAGCTTTCTGACTCTGCGAAGTCTGTATAGCGGAAGTGTCTCTGGCTAGATATTGAAAAGTCGGTATCTATCTATAAATCCACGTGTTTCTATGCGCTGGCACTACATCACAACAAAATGAAAATGAAATTGTTTTACACGTTGTCATCCTCCACTCTAGCCGCTGCTAACCAGTTATATGGACATCAATAATTCTTGTCACCAGTTTTGCGATGGGAGATGCAAACGGTATTTCAGCGCTTTCGCCACTTCCACCCATGAATCCTAGCTCCCAAAGAGCGCTCAACCAGGATTTTGCTAGAGTTCTGAACGCTGTCCCGAAATGCATCCTGTGCAGGAATGATCTGGGACGATCTTGATCGCGGCTCGAGATAGATGTCATCTGGGTAATTTCTCGTCTGATCGGGGACTTCCACAAGAAAGTGGACACGTGAAGATGCGCACCGGAGATTCGACGTAATATCTGGCGACTCGAATCCTCGAACTCTTTGCGTCATCTCTGCGTTCTTTTTGTTTCGATATCGACGAATGACAATACACAGGCACAACAAGACCCGACAGTGTTTTTCGGATAAAATCTAGCAATTTGAAATGTTCGATAAGAATTCGGCACAGGCAAAGGAGATCCAAATACACGCAAAGATTTACGAGAAATTTTAAAAATAACATTCAGAATATCTGTGAAGAATTCATGAGGAAGATCAACAAAATGCTGAGCACACAACTTTTCAAATTTCACAAAAAAAAGACTGACTCGAGACTTTACCTGTCTATGCTGCTGATGAGCCCGTCGACCTGCTGCATTGCCGCGGCGACATCACTCGCCATGCTGAAATTCGCAAGAATTCGTTGAGTTTCTCACACATCGGACGAGTTCGCGTTGATCTTTACGAGAGCCAGAGACTCTATACGTGTATTGCGACAGAGACAGTGTGAGTTCAGAGCGGGTGGTGGTTGGCAGTCAACAAATAGTTCAGGCCTCGCCATTGAATTACAAACAAAGAGAGGGAGAGGGGAGGGGAGAGGGGGAGGGGGTCTGCAAAGGTGTTGAGTAAAATAATGCAGTCATATGTTTCGTATGGTTGAGGTTTTTGCCAAGTGATTTCTGGAATATGAATGGCGTTGCTAATTTCTACAGTGCTAGTGATTGCTGTAAAAGAAAAGGACAAAAAGTTAAGCAAAGACGTGTTTTTTATGTTTGCTGTGTGAAGATGTAATGAAGTGCGGAGAAATGAGAACATTCCATACAGAGATCGTGTGTTATTTCCGATGTTTCCTTCCAGCAAGGCAAATCGATCGATATCGCTATACGTGGAACACGTGTGCCTTACTCACCTCGCCACGAACGAATGGAGCCACGAGCAGGCCCAGATGTGGCGAGTTTTCGAAGACGTACATGCAGCTAATGTCACGACACAAGCGGAGCTACGACGACACAACGGGACAATAGTGATTAGCTGACAAGTCGAGGAACTAATTACTTCGCAGTACGCGAGTGACAGCGCGAGGTGCGCGAAACAGAGTCGCGTCGCCTCATCACCAGGAGGCGACAGCGACGAGGACGAACGCGATTTGAGGCTGGGTGTGTGTCTGCACCGTTAGCTGTGTGTGTATAACTGAAAACTAGTAGTAGTTCGTATCGCTCTGATGTAAATTTTGGGTCATGAAAAGCGAGAACGGCGTGCGAGAAGCCGACAAGGAGAAAGCCGGTTGTTCGCCCGACTGCTGTGCAACCGCGATCACTCTTTCGCGCACTTGTTCAGACTTTACTGTCACACTTGCAGCTCATAAAACAACCTAATCACTGCAATCGCAAAGTCCGTTGGTCGCTCGGAACTAGCAGGTGAGCAGGTGAAACAATAAGTAAACATAAGCGCAGGTAAAATGTCTCAAATTTGACATAGGAGCGCGTGGAAAGAGGTAACGAGGCCAAGGACTGCCGCGTTTTCGCCCGGCGAACACCCTAAGCTGCTACTTCAAAACACAAGTTAAAGACCAAGTACGGAAATTAGAGAACAAAATAAAAAGAATATGATTGAGAGGATGATCAAAGAAAGGACTATTCTCAACTGCAACAATAAAAGAGACAATGACTCGGATCAAGCTTCAGCGCGATAACCGTGCGGAGCACATAGATGAATTCCAAATTAGAAGTATAATCCAACTACCCATTCTATTCATTATGAAGACAAGATCTGCTACGATTTACTAGTTAAAAACAACAGCGCAGTTTACTATTAAACGATGACAGAATTCTAGAAATAGTATAGATGACCTGCCCTTCAAAGCCTACGAACGTGGACGCTATCAAGCGGACCACTGCAGATAACCGTGCAAGCACTGCTGATAACAGCGGTTAATAGTCACAAAGGTAACTTCTAGAGTTTGGTTATGCATGATCCATTGGAGTGAACAAAGTGTGGGAATACGAAAGTATGTGCTAGCCTATCAGAATGGTAATAATCATACTGCGCTAGGTGAATGGCTTTCGAGGGCATTTTCAGCAAATTTCGAACAAAAGGTTTTTTTTTCTGCCAGAAGTTCACAAACACACCTTTGAGAGGCATTGCACTGCCACAATGCCAAAAGAAGTTTTCTATTCTACAGATTTTTTTCACTTCTTCGATTATATTCAATCGATTGGGAGCAGAAAAAACGACTTCAACTTGCATGATTCACTTTTTGATGATCAATGACTGACTATTCTCAAAGATTCGGTACACAATGATCAGGCGTGTTGCTCTCTATGCAGAGCAAAAAAGTGCGTAATAATTTTATTATTCAATTTTGATAATTACAGATGTGAAATTCCATAGTCAGATCAGAAAGATAAAACGGGCAGGAGTACTAAAGATAGCTCTTTGAAGGGACTGAAAGATGGAAAGTGTATAAGAAAATGAGAGAACAAGCTCCAGAAAATAGCCATAAGGCATTATTCGGAAAATTGTCGCAGCGTTGCATTTCGCCTGAAATCCCGCAAATACTGTAATTTCTCAGTTATCAAAAAGATAAGCTCTCATACGAGTTCGTCTTTTGCATGTTGCTTACTCTCAGAATTGCGGTGGGTAGAGATAGTAATCACAAATGTATACTTTAACACTTACTACCAGTATACCTAGATGTAAAATGCTCATCAATCCAAAAAGGCTTTCATTATAGTTTGCACTCTCTGAAAACCGAAAAAGCTACGGCAAAAAATATAGTACATGCCTATTCATGATCTTCGCAATGCTACCAATAGTGAATAGTATCGTTTTGCAGAAAAAGTCAGGTGTCGCTGACTACGATGCTTCCGGACGTGAGATTTCGAAAGCAAGTAGAAGAAGTAAGAAACCTGATATAGAAAGTTTTCTAATCAGAAAGAGAGCTGAAAAAGTCACAGACTGTAACTTTCTCTTGCAGCAAGCAGCTGACTACGTTTGTTTGTTGTTTATAACGAATAAACAAATGCTAGGGGGATGCCAGCAGTGGATGAACGACAGAAGAGTGCTTTCAACAGCAAACGAGCCCTCTCCAACCACGAGGAGTCGGTTGCTTGGTTCCCGTCACCCTCAGGCCGGACCAGTTTCGAAGGCTGCCGGACACGAACCTTGTTGTTTACTAACAATTCGGACTAATCACTCAAGCTGGTGTGTTGCAATGAGTTCGTCTACGAGTAACTGGAAGGAGTTAATGAATATGCATGAACGCCAGATGAGGCAAATGTCCCCCCCCCCCTCGCGCTCCCCCGTGTGTCGGCGTAAATGCAGCGCGCGAGGCGCGATGCCACGTGGAAATCGGGCAAACAATGCTGGTTTATCCCGACGGACGGTGGACGTCGCACAAGCGTCGCCGAAAACGATCAATCTGACTAATCGTGCGCACCTGAATGAAATTTGGGCTCGTATATGAACATCGAGATGAACAGCAGTTCCTTGTGTGTCCATCGATATTGTACACTTCCTGGCTGCAGGCGTGGAAGCAGCTCTTCATCCAGAGCAGCCCTTACGACTTTGAGTTCGTCATCTGTTGGATCGACCCTTCAGCTCTTTGAGGCCTTTACCAGAAAAATGAACAAAGTTGCTACCATGAAGAGCAGGGCGAATCAATCCTGATTTGTAGCCCGTCCGGCAGAGACTTGACCATCTTTTCGTAATTGCTGACTCAAAAGACGGCCTTGGTTCTTGGACATTGAAAGGCTTGTTGGACTCCTATACCGAATAATTTGCTTGAATGACATTGTGAGCTTCAAACGAACAAACCTTCGGTCAGGCTAAGCAGAGTAGGAAATTACTTCTGATTCAGAAGTTCTAAAAGATTCTCTCTGTCACATTTTGCTAGTCCGCAAATTTAGTTTTTCAAGGTAAATATTTTTCTTATCAAGCCATGAGCAAGTTAGTGCTGAGTTAACGATCATGAGTTTTGGAGTTTACGACACAAGGCCTGATTCATTTAGGAATTTTAAGACTTGTGTGAGGTTGGTGAAAGAACAAATTCCAAATTATGCCTTATGTGTGTAGAAAAGCCATTGTTATCAGGTCTAGGCGATGATGTTTGGACTTTCAACCAAATTCGTCAAGAATGCATAGCTTTTGTCTGCACAAGAACACGACAAGTGTGTCCAAACCATTTCCCAGAGAAAAATGAACTAACATAGCCAAGCAAATATAAACAGCATTCACCGCGTATATCTGATTTTTACTGTTTCGCCTTGAGGCTTAGCAGTAATTTATTCAGATTATAGCACACTTTTATACCCAATGTTTACAGATATATTGTTTACTGGCCCAGTATGATTCACTGATTTCCAGCACTCATTTACTTCAACAAAATTCTGCACGCCTAGAGGGCCTATCTCGCTAGACGGAAGTGACAGGAAAGATAACTCCGACAGAACTCAAACTTCATTTTTTCAACTATTTAACCCCTTCATTTAATGAGGTGTTTTTTTCTCAAAATGCAAACATTTGCAGCATTTGTTTGGAAGAGTAATTCTCAAGTACAGAAATTAGTAGCAACACGTGCTCCGATGAAAAAAACAAGTAACACTAAGTTTCAAAGAAAAAGGCAAATTAGAAACTAGTCTTCATCACAAAATTCAAAAGCTCGGAGCACCGCCCACTCTTGCACCGCATCGCTTTTGCACGTCCCCCATTGGCTAACCAGTGGCGGACCGGGAGGAGTCGCGAGAGTGGGACGCGAATTTTCGAAAGTCACACAGTGAATTATGAAAGTGTGTAAGCAATTTTTTCATACTCGTCAACAATTAAAATAATATTAGGTTGGTCCGAAAGTTCTTTCCGTTTCTTCAACCTGTCATAAAAACACGTGGAACGAAGATGGAGAAACGCTTTAAGCACCACCAGACGTAGCTTTTCTTCCTCTTTTTAACCATCTTACCCGTATGCCGCTTACTTGTGGTCACTGAGATAATCGCCGAAATTTCAAGCCCATGGTTTTTACCTTGTCCAACTTTGGCAAATTTTCAGAATCTTCTTTTGAACTTTTGGAAAAGATTCGAAAGCAGTCAGATAGCATAAAAAAAGTGCAATGCAATACAATTTTTTGGCAATTTGAACTAGCTTCTCAGTATTTTTAAAACAGCTTTTCCATAAGTTTTCTCTTTTGCGAAGTCACAAAATACACAAGCGCACCGAACACTAACATAAAGCTATGTATCAATCTTGGCCTCAGGTGAAACAACAGCTACTAAGTTTTTGGAATGTTTGCCTACCTTTATTTTATGAGTTTTTATGATAGGTTGAAAAAACGGAAAGAACTTTCTGAACGACCTAGTATTTGAATTTTTTGAAAATCCTAATTAGCCTCGTAAAAAAAATTCCATTTGC